CATATGTATATATATATATAGTATATACTGGATCACCAGGAATGAAATGTGTTCAACGAAAGCCTTAATAAATACTGTCTGTAGTAATGATGTATACTTTAAASTAAAAACATACTTAAATGGAACTTAGTTCAGACTGGGCTAAAAACAATGATGACAAAAACAAAACAAAAAAAGGCAATAGATTTAAAAATYTGTTTCTCAGTGTGAATGGTGGTAAAATGAAATGAAAAGAGTTTATTCTAACAGATGTTCATTTCTATGGAAATGTTGGTTTGTAAATTGACTTTTTGTTCCAAATCAAAGGAACTTTTTCACAATCTGAGAGCAGGTCACAGTTATTCAAACAACCCTGACATTCTTAGTCTGGTAAAGTCAGTTAATCAGATTAATGATTTTGAGTCATTTTAAATATTTACTGTAAATTATTGTTCTCATGACATCACAAGAATGAAAATGATGTCTGGGTCCAAGAAAAAAAAAGAAAAGGAAAGGAAAGGCTCGCCATTTTCAAATAGATCAGGTACGTTTTGGCAGGTGGATATGCTGCCTTCATGCACAGCTATCAACACTGATGGAACGCACGTACAGCACATACAAACACACACATCTGGCTCTGCAGCCCAGTTAATGAAGGAAAACAGCTGCAGTTTGTCAGAGGAAGCAGCATAAATCAACACCTCTCACAGCATGCATATTAATAAACACTCATGTCAGAGCTAACCAGCGACAAACACTGTTTCTGTACAGCCTTCACGATTTAGGAAAAGGGTTTTAAAAAGTGACAACTGTATGCAGCTCCTCTAGCAATTCATTTAGTCAGCTCAGATTATTTGCATCATTTACAAGGCAAAGAAGGTGAAAAATAATGTGCTTCTCATTGAACAGCTGATTACCCCGGAGACAACGGGATGGGAGGTTGTTTACGATGGAGAACAATGGTTGTTTATGTGTTTGAAACTCAGTTTTAATAAATGAAACAGTAGCCTCAATGATTCARTCAGGTAAACTCTGGCAGACACAGTCAGAAAACATGGTTATTTTTACATCTAAATATCATTTTAGAATTTTTTTAAACTGTAATATAAATACACAGAGAAGAAACTGATGATTATAGACCCTCAGAAACAAGAACAAGTATCTGGGAATTATTTCAAAGAGTCAAATAAACAAAAAAGATTGTAAGTAAGTTGAAACATCTTAGTTTTTGGTAAAAAAAAATTCAGGTACAAACACCTGAAACTCTTACTTCCTCAACAGCTAAAAYTAAAACTAAAGTGTGTTCTCAGAGCTCAAGGCCAAAATGTTTTAATGATGATGGTAAACAATCGTTCACACAAGATGAGCACGGCTGAATCTGTTGGATCAGCAAACCGACCAGGAAAGCTGAAGTTAAAGGCAGCAGCTGATAATGATTGGGTTTTATGCAGCAATGCCTTAAGAAGGTTTTCAAACACYGACCAGATGATCTTTGTCCCATCAAAAGCAAAAGCTTTAACTTTTTTTTTTGATACTTTGGTCCAATAGGCTACTGGAAAAAACCCTGTTATATGAAAGTAATCAACCACTGATTAAAAATACTTTTATAATTTTAAAATCCACATTAAGGACAGAGCGCTCACAGCTCAACTCATTAAAGCTTGTCCTCTTCTCTTTGAATTTTATATTTATGAAAAAAATGCAAATAACTTCCTAAACCCCGAATTCTGATACAAGGACGAAGACTTCCTGCTCCAAAACATATATATTCTGTTCCCCTTACAGCTGGAGTCTAACTTTTAATTATTTTGTGTGGTTTTTTAAAAAGTTTTTTAACGCTTTAAAAAAATTTGGAGGTCGTGTATGTTTTTCAACTGCTTATTGTTAAAAACATATATTTTTATGTTTATGAGGTTTTACTAATTCCAAATACTAGGGGGTGGGACAGGGGACAGCAGATTCACCCCTCTCCAGTGGTGCCCATGATTTTCTGCATTAAAGAAACAAAACTAAACTTTTACAGTGAAAAAACAACTAATWACTTTTTTAAATCTGTACAACTCAGAAATTGGCTGGATTTAACATTTTGATATTTAAAAATCTGCCCTCCTACAAAGATAATTCAAGCAGGTCGTTTATGAATCTGCCACTCTGCAAGAAGTTCACTCTCTGCTGGCATGAGCAGAGGAAAACTGCTAATTTTAAAATTTACTTATAATTTAATTATCCCAGAGCAGCAGAATCTAATATTATTTGAACAATTGATCACAGATGAAAGAGGAAAAATAGGGACAGAAATCAATGAAATATAAGCTTGAATCTATAGTTTTTTTCACAAAGCGGATTACTTCAGACTTATCTGAGAATAAAGTAGATGAAATGGGACTTGGGCTGACTCAGGTAGGATGTGGGAAGGATCCGTCACACAGAGTGATCATTTTTAATGTAGTTTCAATCAGATCTAAATCTTGACATGTATCTACACTTTTAAACAGATATTTTACTTTCTGCAGTCTGACATTTTCACTCAAATCACTCAAATGTGGTAACTTGATTAGACATAAAGAAAAAAATTGTATACTGTAGGTCTTCTGGACGGGTTCTTCTCTAATGAAACGTTTCGTCTCTCCTCCAAGAGACTTCTTCAGTCTGAGAGTTTCAGGCAAAATTCAGGCTTTTAAGCACTGCCTCCAKGTGACTGATACTCACATCACATGGCTATCGYTGACACCTAATTAACAYYTATTGTTAACAGGGGGTGGAGTGATACTGGCAATAGCCGCGCTGTAGGAGGGGGACAACTGAAAACGGAGGCCTCCACCTCTGTTTAATGAAAGACCGTCCATCATTAAACAGAGGTGGAAGCCTCCGTTTTCAGCTATCCCCCTCCTACAGCGCTGCCATTGGCAGTATTACTCCACCCCCTGTTAACAATAAGTGTTAATTAGGTGTCAACGATAGCCATGTGATGTGAGTATCAGTCACATGGAGGCAGGGCTTAAAAGCCTGAATTTTGCCTGAAACTCTCAGACTGAAGAAGTCTCTTGGAGGAGAGACGAAACGTTTCATTAGAGAAGAACCCGTCCAGAAGACCTATACAATTTTTTTCTTTTTGATTTTTTAACCTGGATTACTGAGATGCATCAGGACATTGATTAGACATATGTCCCATAAACTTTGTGTTTTTAGATGATCTTCTAATGCTGAAAGACATCTCAAATATTTATCTGCCTATGAAAATGTTAGTCTGTTGGTGATAAAAGAAGCTTTCAGAGTTGCAGTAAATTGCATTTTACAGCTAGCGTGGCTGTTTTCAGGCCACTGAGCAATAATTAATGAGAGCCAATTAAACTTGCACTTAAACATATCAGATGCTTTTTGGAGTCTTCTGGATCTTCAGATATGTTTAGCATTTTAATAATATTTGTAAAACTGAATAAATCAGTAGATAATACCTAGGAAAATAACAAAAGAATCAACAGTCACGTGGAAAAGAAAGATTACTTTCTTCCAATTCAGAGCAATAAAAATGATGTAGTTCTTAACAAGTACTAAAGTGATTTCAGTCTAAACTTTACTCTGCAAAAACACACCACATATACAGTAGGTCATTATTTATTCAACAAATACCTAAAGATTCTGACAGTTCAATTAGAACAGAAGATTGAACACATTTGGAAGGATTACTGGACAAAGCTTCTTTAAGGAACACTGGAGCTTAGTTGCGAGGCTTTCAAAAGTATTTCCATTAATTTCTCAGGCAGAAGAAGATATTAGGGTTTAAAAAGGCTTCTGTTCAAGTTGACATGTCAAGTCAAGCCTTTTACTCAAGTAAAAGTCTAAAAGTATTGGTTTTAAAACTACTTCAAGTGTAAAAGTAAAAATAATGTAAAGAGGAGAAAAAGCCATGAGGACAAAAGTTTGGGCCACTCCACCGAGGCCTAAACTGCACAACCCTACCTCCCCAATTTTTCTAAAGGCCACATTGACTATATTGTTAAATTTAAATGTTAATGTAGAAAAATGTGGTAATCATCAGACTCTAGAACCTGTTTCAGCTGCATACATATGTAGCTCTGCCTYGCTCATCTTCAAAGTCAGCTTATGTTTGCTGTGTCCTGAGTGTCACGTGATTTGTGTCATACAGGTGTGWTGGCCAGAGTTGGGCAGTACAAAGTATATTTACTTTTTTAAATACCTGTTTACTGAAACATATTCAAGTTACAGTTATAAATTGAACATGGACATAAAGTCCAGACTTTCAGCTTTCATTTGAGTGTATCCAGGTTAAAATTGGACAAAGGGTTTAGGAGTTCAGCTCCTTAACGTGTGCTCACCCTGCTTTTAAAGGGACTAACTGACTCAAGGGAGGTGTAGRCAATTTCTATGTCATTCTCATTGAAGCAGATAAAAGGCCTGGAGCTGATTTGAGCTGTGGTGCTCCATGCAGGTGAAACAAGCCATCTTTATCCTTCGAAAACAAAACAAGAAAAAAAAACATCTGAGAAATTACAGTATTAGCAGTGGCAAAACTGGTACATTCTGAGAAAAAAGAAAGCAATGGTGACCTCATCAACGCAAAAAGACCTGAACACCYACGGAACACAACAGTGGTGGATGATGGCAGAGTAATTTCCATGGTAAAGAGAAACCCCTTCACAACAAMCCACTAAGTGAGCGACACCCTCCAGGAGGCAGGTGTATCAATAACMAAATCTTGACCCAACAACAATTACTTAACCCAACTTCCCCATGTATGAATATGTTGGTGTGATTGTGGTGGTCTGAARGGACTGTAGGTGCTGAATGGCAGCCACACCTCCAACACAGACTGTGACTCAAGAGTCAATGAATAATACATAAAAAAGTCTTTGAGTATCTACAAAAGTACTATATAAGACTAATGCATTAATATTTTATATTTGGAGTTACTGATCTGTCCAATACAGCAGAATTTTTCTCAATTATCCTCAACTACACTCAAATGAAATGCACTCTTAGGTACTTTGTATTTAAAGCACATACTCCTGAACTTTAACTTAAGTAATGAGCTACTTTTACTTTTATTGGAGTAATATTTGACCAGTAGGATCAGTACTTTGATTCAACTAAGAAAACTGAGTCCACCACTTGTGATGTATCATAAACCAACAGGATGTTGAAAAGGTATTTATACTTCTCAAACACAATGAATTCACTCTATTCAGGAGGCACCTTATAGCTAGATAGGTAATTTTTGTTTTTGTTTTTTGAACATCATTGTAAAGGAGTACAAAGTATAGATAATTGCTTCGAAATGTAAGAAGAAGTAAAAAGTCASCTGAAAAATAATYACTCCAATAAAGTGAAGGTAACCAAAATTKCTGCTTAAGTAACCTAACAAAGTAYTTGTATTTGACACCTCTGATAGCACGGCTTATGATTGCAAAGTTTCATCTTAATTAACCACAACGCTTCTGGAATGAGATCCTTTCAACAGACGAGCCTAATGAGGAGCAATTTACCCATAATGCACTGTGTCACGGWGGGCTAAAATAAAACACAGCAAATCTGCACAAACACCTCACAGAAACTCTCAGCRAGGTGGTGGAGGGGGATCATTTKGGCTTGTTTTGCAGCCTCCAGACTTGGACATGTTKCTGTCATTGAGCCAAACGTGAGGCCATCTGTCTGACAGGTAAGAGTTGGACAAACTGCGTCATGATGCAATAGGACCCCAAACACAGCAGCAATTCTACTCTGAAAGAAGGTGGTCTTTCTTTTTTCCATGACTTAAGCCAGTGTATGTATTTGTGTGAGTGTGTGTGTGTGTGTGTGTGTGTGTGTGTGTGTGTGTGTTTGTCAGACCCAGTGAGATCTTTTCTCCAGAGTCAGCAGGCAGGAGGAAGACGAGCAGAGCCAGAGTAGAGATCAGGACGCATGGGATGAGCAGATTGAGGCCGTAGTACAGGGTCCGTCTGCGCATCACCACAGTGAACGTGATGTCAGGGTACGGCTCGTCACAGCATTCGTAAAAACGCTCGCTCCTTCTTCCTGGAACCTCTGCAAAACAAAAACACAACCTGCTGTGAGAGATAGTCAAAAAAAATCTATCATGCATATAAGCAGGGCTGGCACAGGGCATAGGCAGTATAGGCTAATGCTAAGGGTGCCATCCATCTAGGGTGCGCCACCTATGGGGAATAAAATAAATGTTTTATAACTTTTTGTCAGAGTATAGCTGATTTGATCTGTAGAATAATTACTGGTTACTTGTGTTTATGAAAGTAACTTGTTCTGTGTGTTTCTCAGCTTGTTTTGAYAATGGAAGTTTCAGTTATGATCTAAGATAAAATTCAGKTTAAATTCTGTTTTTATRTTGTTTTATTAATCCCAAAAATTTAGTAAATTGTTCTTCAAATGGCTGGGAAATGCATAGTTTTGAGTAAAGTTTTTACAAAGTTTTCTGAGGAAGATTACTCTTGCACTCCCCTAGAACTGCTTCACTCCACAGCTGCTCATAAACGTGAACAGGTGTTTCTCGTTGCTGTTGGCAGATGTTGGCAGATCTGAGGCAGACTTCTGGTATTCTGTTTCAAATGACTTATGTTGTTAATTTTAATTGGACAACCTGRTTTCTAAAGAYAMAAAAGAATATSAAAAATATACTTTAYATTGTGTKTAAATGTATGTAAATTTGCACAGATTTAGATCAAGGGGTGCCAAATGAAATCAAGCCCAGGGAGCCAAACAGGCTTGGAACAGCCATGCATAAAAGGACAGGAAATCTACTTTTTGAAACCAATACACAGGACACCCTTTTACCAACAAGATCCCACTCTCCATTGGCAATGTAACCGGTGATATCTGCCTCCAGCATCTTTAAATCCAAAGACCAGCCTCCGTATGTCCAAGAGCCAAACTTCAGCTCGCACCTCTGGACATCAAATGGGAACCAGCGAACATCGATGTAACAGGTGCTCTTGAAGATCCCTGTTGTGACAAACATTATGAAGGACAGCATGTTGGTCACAACACAAAAAACACAGACAGGTGAGGTGACAAAACACAGGAATGTTCGTTTTGCTCGGCGTACATTYCAACTTCTGACAAAAAAGATTTTACTCTTCCACAGAAGCAGAGGAAAATTGWAAAATGACTCGACAAGGCCGACAACCTGGGAGGCAGTGGAGTACTTTTTATTCTGAGAGATGAAGTTCCATCTATCCTATCAAAAGGGGAATAAATTCAATATGACAATAGGATGAAAGAGGAGGGTAATTCATCAAGGGAGTCGGCGTCAAACTAATTTCCATACATATTTAAGAAAGATATGAGATGCTGGCAGTAAACAAGGTCTCCCCTCTCTATTATTCTCACAGCCRGAGAGAATAATAGAGATGAAGAGGAAATGAATAGAGATGGGTGCAAACAAACAGAATAAAATCTATTTTCCTGCAATAAACCTTGTTGACAACCTCCAGGAAACTCAGTTGATTTGTCCGTTCCCGTCACAGCTGCTTGCGTTAACACTCGTTTATTGTAGATGTGTTGAGTTCATGCGACGTATGAATATCTTATTTGACAGTTGTTCGTTAGGAGCAAGGTCGAGAGGMGCTTCCCTCACCACAGATGTAATCAAGCCCAGGAGAAATTCAGTGATGGAGCTATTTGTGTTGGTATTGATTAAGATGCTGCAGGGAAGCTTTTGCGTTGTAAGGGATAAAGTGTGGAAGAGGAGCTTGCCGGAGGGAGCAGTAATTACTACTTGTGTCAGGGAGGCCTTGCCGCTTCACGGAGTTCACCAAGTTTCTCTGCTCGGTTTTACAGAAATGATCGTGCATCTTAGATGTCCACACAGGGTTGAAGAAGTTGGTCGATTAGACCTTAATACAAGTGTCAAACTCAAGGTCTGTTGACCAAATCTGTCCCTCATTAGTATAGTAAGTTTTATTTTATTTACAGTACATTGGTTTTTATCTTTTCTCTTTTTGTCACTGTATTTAGTGCAGCCTTTTCACAACAGGGTTTGACTTTAATCATATTTTATGGATTCTCTTCTTACAGTCAACTATATTAATTTAGTTAGGGTTTTCCTTTTTTTTAAACTCATTTGCTGGATTGTGATAAAATGTACCTATAAAAATAATAAACGGAAACATTATAGAACATTATAGAGTCGCTACATAAAGAATAATTTTCAGAAAAGTCATTCTGTAACAACAATTGGTTATATGACATTTAAAACCAAGAAATATTTTTACATGACAGAGATTGGTTGTGGCTTAGACCAAATTTTGAATTTTGGGCCCCCTAACCGAGTTTGACACCCCTGCCTCAATAATAA